CTCTCCATGTAGCATCAATTATGCTAATGCTAGCTGCCTGTCACATTCTCTCGTCCTGGCCACACCTCTGCCCCCTACCCACACCCCCTCCCCTACCCACTTTGATGCATTTTTCAAATTTCGCCTTGGGGCGGAGTTATCTTTTCACAGTGGGGTAAGTTACACTTTAAAGAGCAGGAAAACCAGAAAAGCACGAGCGCACCGTGGAGTCTCTGCTGTCTCTGCGAGTCTCTCCCATGGGACTGGATTTGGGGCTGATGCAGGCGGAGCTGCTGGACACTCCTGCAGGTTTGGAGGCTCCTGACCCGGAGCAGGCCAGTCCCTCCCCGCTGGTTCTTTTCTCCACCTTCACTCGAACCGTCTGAAGGCTCAGAGCCGATGGAGGTGGAAGGTCCCCCAAGTCCTTTAAAAACAAATTATTTTTATACATGCACGCTCACAACCGCACACAAACAGGTGTTTACATCCTGGGTTTTCTATTCGGACACTGACTGAATGGTATGTGAGTATGTGTATGTGCAGAAAAAAAAAAGCTACTGATGATGAAGAAGCTAAGATACTAATATTCAGATATTCAGTTCTGCTTTCTACTGAAGTGGCAAAAAAAAATCATAATTATATATAAAGATGTCCTAAAACATACTTGAATGTGATGGGGGTCACCTTTTCATCTGTATCCAGGAGAAATCGGAGTAACTGGTGGTCCTGCGGCTCTCTGGAGCCGGCTCTGTGAGGTGCTGTACTCAGAGCCGGACTGGCGGGCGGCTCCTTCTTGATCTCGAAGTTGTTTTTGTTTAATCCGTCCTCGGCGGCGGCGGCAGAGGAGGCGTCGTTGGGACTGCTGTCCAGCAGCAGCTTGTGCAGGATCTTGTGTCGTTCCGTAAGACTGCTGTGGGAGGCAGGGCACTGAGGAACAGGGGAGGGGGTCAGAGGATGAGGTGATGAGCTGCAGTGGATGCTGTCGTGTGGTTCGGCTCCTGTCTCACTGCTGTCCAGGAGCTGGTTGAGTCTGGGCTCACCCAGCTGTGAGGCAGAAAGAGGAGGGGCTACAGCAGAGTCCTCCCCTCCTTCTGAGGGCTTCGCTGACGGGGGCCGAGTCGAGGAGACGGTGGGTGTACTGGCTTGTCTCTGAAGTCCAGGAGAGGACAGGGGGAAAGACCCTGATGACCCACCGTTTGCACCAGTATTACCATCACCACCAGAATGCTGCCTGCTGAGGCAGCCCCCACTACTCAGAGCCCCCACTGGGGACGAGAGGCCTGGCGTCGATGGAGAGAAGGGGTTCCCCGGCCCCCAGGGGCTCCCCCCTGACCCAGGACTAGCCCGCGGCATCCTGGGCAACATAAACGAGGTAGAGGTGGCTGTGTGCGGGCTGCTGAGAGGAGACAGACTGTTGACCTGCGGGGGGCAGTTCGTCCGACAGGAAGTCAGGTAGCCTGTGGGTGTGGCCGGGCCGTGGCCCAGGGAGGGGGCGTTGCTGTTGTTGGTATGAAGGCTTGAGGTGGCGAGGGGTACCGCGACTTGGTTTGAGTTGCTGCCCGGAGGAAGCGAAGGGGACCGGGTGGGAGTCGGAGCAATACTGCCGGGGGTGAGTGGAAGGCTGGGGTTAGTGTTTTCCTGAGAGCTAGCAGTGTTGTGTTCCCTGAGAGACAAGACAAAGAATAAAACCGCTTTAACTCGAGGAGGAAAATCTGACAGGATGTTAAAACCAAGACAAGTGCACCTGTCGATAGTGTGGATGCCCATGATGAAGGGCTGGATGTCAGGGTTGGGGGGGCAGCAGAACTTGCAGCGGGTCTGAGCGCTGAGCGTCGTGCCGTCACTTAACGCAAAATGGTAGAGCGGGCTGACGGCGGTGCCATGAGTCATCACTGCAGAGGAGAACGATTCAACATCTGATTAATGTTTCGATATTTCATCATCACACACTGCAATTATAATTTATTACATTTAATGTGTTTTTATTATACCGTAAGCATTTTGTAATCTACTTATGCAGCTTTAGCCATTTATAAACTAAAATGTTATCTTCAGGAGATAGATGCTAACGCTTTGTGTTTTGGCAACATTTACATTTTTTGAACCTTTAACTTTGTTTAAAATTAATTTTTTTACAGAAACAGATTTATCTTTTCTATTCCTCTAAAACATTAATTTCTTTAATATCTGCTTCGTTTGTCTTCTTGTGCTACTGTTATGTTTTTGCTATAGTTCTGCCACATTTAGCTTCTAGCTAGACTTTTTCTCTTTTTAGATTTTTACTACTTTTAGCGAGCGTTTTGCTAATTTTTAGTATTAATGCATGCTTTTCATTTCTTTTGACTTATAGCTGTAAGTTTGCTTTTTTCAACTAGACTTTGCTTACGACGGAGTATTAGGGCCACACAACGAGATTTTTTAATTTTCATTACGAGGTTAAAGTCATAATA